TCATGCTGTTGACTATTGCCATGGTAACACAGTCCAAAGCTGATGTAAGACATGACAATAAATCACTGCAGAAGATCTCCTAAGAGTCTATGGTCTTCTTTTCAGAGAACCTATGAGTACAGCTCTGAGGACCATACAACCATCAGAGACAGCTGCTCTTCTCACAGACATTGTGTCTTCAATGGTCACTTCCTTTGTTTTCACCTGTCTATAGCATCGCTCATCTCCTGAAGATTCTCCTGTCTCTGACAGTACCTCTCAGTATCAGAAAGCCCACAAGTGCCATGGTAGACTGTCCCTAGACATCAGTGTTTCTAGAAGACCAGTCTTTGGACCAGCAGCCTCAGCTACAGGTAAACATGTCATACAGAAGATCACACAGGACAGTATCAGCACTGAGGTCCTAGGCCTATGTAAGCATGGCCAGATGTTTTTAAAATAGGCACCGGGGATTTGAACTCAGTCCTTCTTCTTTCCCCTGAAGTCCTCTTTCCTGCTGAGCTATCTCCTGCTTATCAAAAACTTTCAAGGTCATGCCTTGATAGCTTTCACTTAGGGTCCATAAAGAGATGCCCCAATAAGAGTAGGGGCTAAGTCTGAGGGCTGTGGGAAAGAATCTGCTCACACCGCATTCTTTGTATTCCTGTGCTCTTTATTGTTCTGTTTCTACTCTAATATCCTGTACTGCTTCTAACTTCTCCATTTTCTTCTTCTTCTTCTTCTTCTTCTTCTTCTTCTTCTTCTTCTTCTTCTTCTTCTTCTTCTTCTTCTTCTTCTTCTTCATTTTCCTACACTCGTGTTTCCTACGTTCTTATCCTTTTCCATTACTGTCCATTTCTGTCAACTTCTCCCTCCAGCCATTACCTCTCTAGTCCTCTCTTCCCAAATCTCTCTGTCTGCAGATGTTTGAAGCAAAGGTTAAGAATTACAGAGTTAGTTTCTCATGGCAATACAAGGTCCCAAGGCCATAGGAGCAAAACTACGATCAAACAAGGGAGGGTACAGTGCCCAATGGTAACTTTATGACACAGATGTATTGTCAGTAGATTGGCAAGTGAAGAATAGGAATGCTTATCTTGGTAACCCTTGCTTGGACATTTGTGGCTCTGAATTTGTACATAGCTGTAAGGTTTTAAACTTGTGATCTAGTTACAAAATGTCTTTAGCTTGAACTCGCTCTGAGGTGAAAGTCAGTTCATTGCATGCAGTCGTCTGAGTAAGAGAACAAGGCAGGCTATTAAGAGTCAACAATAGTTAACACCCGCTGTATCTCTCATGACCCCTGATACCTGCTCTCTCCCTCCCTTCCCCCTGCTTGATTTTCTTCACAGTATTTTACCACCCATCATCACTTTATAGTCTAGGGGGGGTTATTCTCGTCAGTGAATCCAGCTCCTGCTCAAGAAACTTATTTAGGGAATGGCCTCCTTCATTCATTCACCACTATCTGCAAAGGCAGCAGCACGTGACTCCCCAGGACGCATGAGAATGGGGCAGAGCTGATGTCTGAACTCAGGACCGCCTGCCTCCAAAGTCCATGCTCTTCTCATGGTGCCACAGGGAAGCCCTCGCCTAGCTTTACTGTGTCTTTGCCTCCCAGAAAGATGCATATTTGATGATTCTATCCACGCAGACTAGCTCACGCCAGATACTACTCATGAGGTTTTCTGTGACTCGGTTTCTCGTTTCTTCCTGTATGGTAAGAGAGGAAGCCCATGCCTGCCTGGTTTCCAGGTTCATTTGAAGGAGTGAATGAAAATATACATGTTACCAATAGTATTTTGCACGTTACATGATGCTACGTTATTACCACTACAACATGTGTAGAAAAAAGAAATGGGTAGATGATAGTGTTGGAGAGAGCTGTCCTGAAGAAACTCTTCATGTGGAACATGTGACTGAAGAAACAGAAAACCAAAGGTATATAAAAATGCCGCATGTCAAACGCTCCCATTTAGGAAGGCATGGTGGTGCATGCCCATAAATGCCAGCACTCAGAAGGCTGACCCAGAAAGTTCTCCAGGAGTTCCAGGATAGCCCAGGCTAGGTAGAGCTACATGATGAAACTCTGTCTCAAAACAGATAAATACAATTACATGAGGAAAAGTTCCCACTGCCCGACAACAGGATTCTGAATCATTTGCACCTATTTTACAAGATGGCACAAATTTACTTTTTAATTTAAAATATAATTCATATAGTTTATTCCATTGAAGAATCTTTTAAGGCCTCTGCTCTACGCTTGTTTTAATCTTTTCAAAACATCATAGTGAACCTGTCACAGGTACATTTATGTGTGATCAAAGTCTTACTTCTCTCCATCCTCATTTCCATAAAGGATGCTAAGTGAGGAACCACAAGGAACCAGCACATTACCAACTCGGGTGAACTGCTTCTGATGTTAGGATGGGAGGCTGGGCAGCCAGTGATGACTTGAAGCCACCAGGAGCATGTCAAGCACGGTCCTTAAAGGCCCACCAGTGCAAGCCACCTACACAGCATTCCTAGCCAAGCCACTGCAACCTTCAGGGAAGGGACACTCTCTTAAGAGTCATGGCATTTCATTTAGCTCTCACACCGCGTCAATAAATACTGACTGGGTAGATAACCAACCTTTGGTTTTTTTTTTCAATACGTTAATAATGAGGCAGTACATTAATAATGAGGCAGTACATTTCCCAGGATAACCCATTGTGAATTTCAGGTGCTCTACCACACAGTGATGTGGGGGGAAGAATAGGGAAGGGGCTTTTTGGACAGAAGGACAGAGTGTTACTCTTAATTCTAAGCCTTGGGTGGATCGTGTACATTCCTGGATCATCAATTTCTTTGTCTTCCTAAACGGACGATGGCCTAATTGCATGAGAATAGGGAGACCCCTCGGAAAAGGTGAGCTGAGACCTCAGCATCCCACCAGGTTGCACATGGCTTCTGATCAGAGGCAGAGGGTTCAAGACACAAGTGTGGCCCCAGACAGCTGCATTCAGATGCCGGTTCTAATCTTGATTAACCCACTTGTTTCCTCCACACCTTTCTATATAGGTAAAAAGGTGATGACCAACAGTGACTATCCTAGGGCTGAAGTCAATATCTATCTGGTGTCCGGATTATAAGAAAATAGGCAGCAACTGTTAGCTATTGCAATGACTGGTAGTAATTCTGTGACTAAGGGTGACATTGCAGCAACGGTTAGCTACTACAATGACTGGCAGCAATTCTGTGGCTAAGGGTAACATCTAAAGGATAAGGATAAGATCGCAACCTTTCTTTCAGGCGCTGAATGTGTGGCACACAGGACCACAAAGAGATGGAAGACAAGAAACCAGCTAAAAAGATGAAGCAATATGGGGTGAGAGGTGCTGAGAGCCCAACCTGAAAACAGAGAGAAGGGGGAGGGGAAAGGACCTGATGCCTGACACACAACTCGGCAAGTGCATTGATATGTGGCCAGCAGGGAAGGTTTAAGAGGAGGCAGGGAGACCACAGAAGGGTTTTGTCTGAATGCATCCACTTTCACACGGGGGCGGGGGGGGAGTTGCTAAAGTCTCACTAGGATGCTGATTTTGTCTGTTCTGTATGGTGTGCCTCTTGTTCATCTTGGAACCAATGCCATGCAACAGGCAAGGTTTGCTGGGTAAATCACTGTTGTCCTTAGCATAGCATGAGTGCAGCAGGGGGCACACACCTATGGATGCCTGTGAACACAATCTGTGAAAACACAAAACGGCAGCTAGAAGTCCTCTATGTGCACTGAAGTCTAAGGGAGACATAAAAAAAGTCATCGTGACACTAATGTTTGTCATCAGAAAATTACTGATCCTCACATGGCAGAGGCCTACAGTAAAATGTCCTACTGCTGACCTCATGAAGGATCCCAGGCCCCAGAGGACTGTGAAAGTGCAGGCACTGTGACCTCAAGAAGGCAGTACAGATGACCTTAGCTGATAGGAGTCTACCTTTACAGACTAGACGCTTCCTCTCCCTTGACTTATTTCTGTCTAGTTCAGTTTATACCACAAACTTCTTTTACCAGGCTGGGAACCCTCCACCCATACCTCTGTCGTGAACATCACTAAGCCTCTGTGGAATTACTTCATCCATCCAGGTCTGTTTCCTTCACTGTAACACTCCAGTCTTGTGCCAGGGAACTTTGGTTGCCTATAGCAAACCAATGATAAGTCTCTGGTTTCTCCCACCTGGGTGGCTACTTGGTTCCAAAGACTTCCAATAAGACGCCGCAAGATGCCAACAACCAATTCCACTCCTCCTACAGTTCTCATTGCTCTTTCTGCCTGAAGCTCCACAAGCAAGTTATCAAATGCAGCTTAAAACTAGAACACACAGAAGACAGTCACTAAAATGATGAGTTTACCATTGTCACCTCTTAGTCACTCTGAAAATCCAGTCCCTGAGTCCTGTCTCTTTCCCACCTGTCTCAGAAAATGGCTTCTCTCCACCCTATACAGCACTGGCAGGGGGAACCCTGTCCTCTGCGGGCATAGGTGTGGTCTAGGATTCAGCTGACCAGTGCTTTTACTCTATAGTTTATGCCTAATAAACTACCTCCTGAGTTGAGCTAAACCCCCAAATTTCCTACTGTCTATCAACTAATTGCTGCCAAATGTCTCTTCTTATGAACATAATCACACACTCCCAAATGCCCTTAGGCACATCCCTCCAGCTCCATATCTGAACCTTGTATTGGAAGTATTATAACCTCTCCTAGTTAAAGTCCAGACCTTAGACCGGGTACCTTTGGCACATCACCCTGTCTCCAACCACAGCCACTAAATACAATTCCCTGCTTCCAGGCCCTTTGTTGTTTTTTGCAAACGCTACAGAGTAAAACATAAAATATAACAATCCACAAATCCAGCAACAAGAATGGCCCGAGGCTGAGCTCAGATAATCTCCCAACCACATGGGCTCTGAACAGGGAAACATAACTCAGAGGAGCCTGGTAGCTACTGCAGGGCAACCAGCCCTGTGGGAGTGCTGACCCAGATACTCAGGGCCTGAAGTCCTTCAGCAGGCGGGTCAACCGCTACCTGGTCCAGCAGCCGGTAGATGGTGATGCCCGAGGCCTCCACCAGCAGCTGCCAGTCGGCCCCGGCCAGCGCCGGCTGTTGGAGCTCCGCACAGGCCTCCCGGAACTGTTCGTCCGAGAAGTAGCCGGAGGCCCCTGCCATCCTTCCGCAGCCGGGATACAGCAGGTCACCCACTGGCCCTTAGTGAGCTCCGGGGCAGAGTCACAAGATGGCCCCAACCTGATTGGCAGGGAAGAGAGAAGGCGGAACTTGGCACTGGAGGGAGGGCGTGGGGAGTGGCCGGTAGTGGAGACTGGGGCGGGGGGGGGGGGGGGCGGGGAAGGGCGGGGGTGGAGCAGAGACTGGAGGGGGTGTGTCCAGGCCTCAAAATGGGCGGGGCTAAGCAAAGGATGAGAAGAATGGAAAAGAGAAAACTAGAAAAAAAACCTAGAGCTTAACTGGCGAAAGAAGAAAGGGCTGAAGAGGCAGACTTCTTTGGACGGGGAAGCTCATTCCATTATCACCTCTATAATCTTCAACCTGTGTAGCCGGCTGCTACCCTACCTATCTGAAGACGGAAGGTGAAGGGACGCCAGCCCCTAGAATATGTGACTCAGGCAGGCCTTGCCTTTCTCTTCCATTCCCTTAACTTTGCTAAAAAACTGTTAGATTACATTCCTAAAGGTAGGCACCAAAGTCTATTCCCTTATTTGACCACTTCCTCCTCCTGAGGCTGACTACCAAAGTCCAGCCATCAAAAGCCCCTTTTGGCTCACCTAGTTAACCTGTCCAATTAAAATTAAACACCCCATCCTAACACAGGTTTCCCCCTTTAAAAGTGGCCGTTTGCCTGTGAGCCACATCTGTCTCCTCTCTATCCAGAGGAAGTCCTCTGTCTCCCCAGGGAAATACCTCTGCCCTCTTTCCCTTGCCCTTCTCCCTAGTCTTCTGTCTCCTTTACTACCTAGGATGTCCTCGCCCATCCTAACACCAACCTCCCCTTTCCTCTTAAAAACTACACTTGCAAGGTCATTTGATGCTGTTTTTCTGCCTGAGTCAGAAAGCAGCCACTTTAACTTTTCTTCTCTGCTTAATAAAGGGTCTCTCTGTGGAAAAACAGGTATGTGGTTTTGGTCTGGGAGGGAGCCCTGCTATGCCAAAGTCCCCTTCAGAAGGTTTCTTTGGAAGCCTTGGGAAAGTGGCCACAGAACATAAGAACATGAAAATCTCAGAAGTCAGATGCTCGGACTATGTTTCAATAAAATTGCTCTTTGTTCTGTTATGAATTTTGAAACACTATTTTGGGAATCAGTCCCTTAGAATCATCAGAAGGCCAAGGGAGTAAGTACATGGCACAAAAAAGCAATAAGAAACAGAATCACAATGGGCAAGATTTGCCACCCCAGTGAGTGCAAAGGATCTGAGAGATACAGGACCTGAATTTCTGCAGCTTGCATAATTTAGGTCTCCTGGAATTACCAAATCTCTCAGCAGAAAATTGTGCCTGGCTGTGAGTGTAGTAGGTAGTTTAAAGATCAGTGCAACAGCCACATGATTGCCAATAAGGTCTGGAAAGCCATGTTGCCTAATTTGTAAAATGGGTCAAGGACTGTGCTATCTTTCATTGAGGGCCATAGAATATGTTTCCCAAGGTCCAGCAAAGTAATGTTTAATAATTATGCCCTCTTATTCTGCAGGAATAACCTGAAATGCAGTTCTTTCTATACTCGTAAAAAAAAGTTGATAGAAAAACTATTTAAGGATGGTTTACAAAGGCTCCAGAGTCCCACTGGCCACAACACAGATAAATTCACTACTTTATTTAATTCAACATGGGTTTTCTTGTTCAGGGCAGAAGGAAAGTAAGATATTCCTAAACTAAACACAAAAGATTGCTTCAAGACAGATTTTCTGACTGTTTTAATAGTGGCTTGTAAGTTTTCTCAGATTTGTAAATACTATATTTGACTCAAACTAAAATCTAATGGTGAAACAAACAATCCCATTACCCTCAAAAAAAAGAAAACACTGTGGAGGATTTTTAAATATCTTCAAGGAATCTGTTACGAAGGTGTGCTTTGATAAAATTGTAGCTTTATCATCACAGAACAATAAATGAATGAAGATAGGCCCAAGAGAATGAACAGTACCACAGAAGATATAAGACACATAATTCAAACTGAATTTATTGTTTGTGTTTAAATATGTCACCTTATACACACATACACCACATTTATTTTATTATAGGCACTGAAAGACATAATAGTTTTACAAAGTAGTTTTCTTTTATACAATCCAAAAACTCTAGAATGACTTAGAAAGGGGTCTAAATAGGCCTGTTCCTGACAATTTTCACAAAGAAACCAACTTGTCTCCTTCAGGGCATTGAGAGGAGGAGCTCTCACAATGCAAACCAGACTGGCCTTGAACTCACAGATATCTGCCTTTGCCTCCTGTGTGCTGGAGAGTGGCTGGGGATGTTCCTTCTGTATATATGTTTCTCTTATTGGTTGATGAATAAAACACTGATTGGCCAGTAGCCAGGCAATAGTAGGTGGGGGTGCTACCAGATGAGGAGAAAGAGATGGGGAGAGGAGAAAGAGAGAGGCGGTCAGAGAGAGAGAGAGAGAGACATGCCATGCTGCCGAAGGAGTAACATGCCAGATTACCGGTAAGCCACAGCCTCATGGCAATACATAGATTAATAGAGATGGGTCAAGAATTAAGAGATGGCTAGCCGGTAAGAAGCCTAGCCATCGGCTAAAAAGTTTAATAATTAGTATAGTGTCTCTGTGTTTATTGGGAGGGGGTATCAGCTGCAGGACATTCATCTTCAAATGATAATTTAAAAAAAATCCTGACTAATATGGTTAGCAACTGGCAAGCTCCATCCTCTGACCCCCAGACAGGCTTTATTTGTGCAAGATATCACCACAGGAGAGAAGATGCTTTTTAGATGAACTGACTACACAGTGGCCCAAACTCCTGGTCCCTGATGTAGGCAAACTAGATAACACAGGCCAGACAGTTCTGTACACATGACACGGCTGAGAACAAAAAAAAAAGTGCACTCTAGATCTTAGCGCGAAAGAGACAAAGTGAGAGCGCGGAGAGATACAAGCATTAGAATGTCTCAGAACGGATGGCTCTGCCCCATTCCTTGCCCACCTTTCATCCCTGCTCCCCATGCTCTGTTTGCAGAGAAACTCTTGCTTAGAAGAGGCTACTGAGCGGGAGCAGAAGAATGAACCCTTTCCGCTCCCTTTTGGCACCTGTCAGCTTGCAGGAAATATGCCTTAGGTTATGCTGTAAAGGCAAGGGTCAGGCTCTGCCACTAGTGTCAAGCCCTGGCAGTGCTGTCATTCTATGATTACCAAAGAATGTCCTCTCAACAGCTCAGTGCGGTAAAGGCGACTTGCTGGTCCACTAATGAATTTAGCATGGATTGTAATCCCTCTCCCCGTGAGGCTGTGGGAAGAATATGTGCTTCTCTGAGGATGAGGGCTTCCTCCTTTCCTCTGAAAGACAGAGAGAGCTCTTGGAGGATTCAGGCTTTGTAAGGCGACACTAGTCCAGCTTCCCCATCTCCTGCAGTTATAGCAGCATCTTCAGCCAAGCGCAAGCGTTAGCACCTTAGACTGCAGTCCTTGGGCTTTCTGTCTGATGGCAACTTAGGACAGCCAAATACAACACATCTGCTTTGATGTCTGGATCCAGAATTCATGAGAACCACAGAAAACAAATAGACACAAAATCTGACTCATGACCGTTGAACCTCTGGGCTGCTGACAGAATCAAAACAGGACACACTTTCACAACCAGGGCACATGGAGTTACCACAGAACATAACACCCACAGGAGATGGGTGTACAAAACAGAGTAAAAGTCACCCAGACCCAAGGAAACACAGACTGGGGTTGTGGTTCACTGGTAGAACACCAGAATAGCATGCATGAGGCTCCAGCTTTAACCCTCAACAGCGGTGGTGCGGGAGAGATACCCGAGGAAACAGTTCTCCATATGAAGAATTAGAAGATGCACAATTAGACCTAAAGAAGTTCTAGTCTTTTGATGAGAGCCAAGGAACCCCCAAACCAGTCCATCATGAAAGCAGTTAGTTAATACATTTATAACAAACCAAAGAAGGTCCCAACCATAACAAAAGAACAGAACACTAAGAAAAAGACAATTCATCTGAAAAAAGTAGAACTTCTACAAATGGGAAATGCAGTACTGAAATGAAAACTTAAGCATCGTCAAATTGTTGGCTTACTCTGAATAAGAGAGACTGATACAGAAATGACCCAGTGGCAGTGAGATAGCAGCATGCGGAGATAAAGAAGCCGAAAGTATGAATGAGTGACGAAGATGCATGTAGCTTAGCTACTCCACAATGTCAAGTATTGCTGACTGGGATCCCCAAAGGAAAGTATAGAGAATTTAGGATATAGCACGAGTAGGTGGGGGAGGAAATAGAAAATGAAAAAAGGAAAGAGACACAGGAAAGGAACTAAAACTTTCAGCAGCGTGTAAAATATCATAAGGTAAGACCTGAGTTTTGTTTAAAAGGTGGGTAGATAGGAGATTTTGGTTGATTTGGGTGTTGTTTAATTCTGTACATAAAAACAAGGATATTAACTCTCAAATATAAGAAAAGAAAATTAGCTACATAAAAAACAAAAATAAACAAACAAAAAGTATGATATTTAGGTAGGCATTTCACCAAAGAACTGTTATCAAATAACATGGAAAGATGTTTGGCAGCATTGCTCCTTAACATCATTTAATTAAATCCAGAACAGGGGTGGGGTGGAGAGATGGCTCAGTAGGTAGGAGCACTGACTGTTCTTCCAGACATTCTGAGTTCAATTCCCAGCAACCATATGGTGGCTCACAGCCATCTATAGTGGGATCTGATGCCTTCTTCTGGAATAAAGGTTTATGCGTAGATAGAGGACTCTTGCATAAAATAAATAAATATTAAAAAAATATAATGGGGTATCATTATATATCTATTTGAATGGCTAACAGCAAACCATTGGTTGGCCTAGATGGATGGCTCCATGGGAAAAGGCTCTTGCTGAGTGACCTGAATTCAAGCCCCAGATGGAAGGGGTAAACCAAATTGTACAAGCTGTCTTCTGGCCTTTACACATATGTTAACGGCATGTTTACACACACAATAACCAAACAAACAAACAAATAATTTTTAAAGTAAGAACAAAGAAACCTGACAAAATGAGTGTTGGCATTATGGCTTGATTGTAGAGAGCTAGAGAGCTAGGACTCTCTCTCTCTCTCTCTCTCTCTCTCT